TCAGAGCTCCCTGGGGGGTCAGTGCTCCCTGGGGGTCAGAGCTCCCTGGGGGGAGTCAGTGCTCCCTGGGGGGTCAGAGCTCCCTGGGGATCAGAGCTTCCTGGGGGGTGTCAGTGTTCCCTGGGGGGGTTGAGTGCTCCCGTCAGTGCTCCCTGGGGGTCAGAGCTCCCTGGTGGGGGGTCAGTGCTCCCTGGGGGTCAGAGCTCCCTGGGGGTCAGAGCTCCCTGGGGGTCAATGCTCCCTGGGGGGTCAGTACTCCCTGGGGGTCACTGCTCCCTGGGGGGGTCAGTGCTCCCTGGGGGGGGTCACTGCTCCCTGGGGAGGGTCAGAGCTCCCTGAGGTTCAGTACTTCCTGGGGTTCAGAGCTCCCTAGGGGTCAGTGCTCTCTGGGGGGGGTCAGAGTTCCCTGGGGGCAGTGCTCCCCGGGGGTCAGTGCTCCCTTGGGGGGGGTCAGTGCTCCCTGGGGGTGGTCAGTGCTCCCTGGGGGGTCAGTGCTCCTGGGGATCAGAGCTCCCTGGCGATCAGTGCTGGTTAGCCGCAGAGCTGAGACCCAAACCCAGGATGGGAGGACAGAGTGTTTGTCATCCCCATTGACTCACAGAATTTCCTAAGTACTGTAAAAGTGATAGAAAGAAAAGCATCTATTTTTGAGAGTTTAAGAAAGGGCAACCCCTCCTGCCCTGTGTGCTGCTCTTGCAGATCCTGAGGAAACTGAAGAGTCTCGCCCTGGACACTGAGACGGAGCTGGAGAGGCAGGACGAGGCCCTGGACGGCATCACTGCAGCTGTCGACCGGACCACCTTAACCATCGACAAGCATAACCGACGTGCCAAAAAACTGACCTAGGACAGAAGAGCAGAGAGGTGACTGGTTTTGATGACAGTCACTCCCCTGAGTACTTTGTTCTCAACACCTGCACACGTCCTTGACATAAAAACCTGGAAGGTCATTCCAAAAGCGGGTTAGTAGTTGGAGGCCCTGGGCCAGGAGGTGCAGGCTTGCCTCAGGGTGGAGGATCCCGACCACTGCACATGCAGGAAGAAGGAGCTCCAGGAGAGGGGAGTTCTGCCTGCAGATCCGGCGAGCACCCCCAGCACCTCCCCTGCCGTGGTGGCCCCAGCTCCCCTCCTCCCCGCTCCCCACAGGCCCCGCTGCCTTCTCCCCTGCTCCCCACAGGTCCTGGCTCCCTTCTTCCCCTCCCTCCCCTCAGTCCCCGGCTCCCCACACATACTTGAGCCCTTCAGAGCGTCCCCAGCAGCAGGAAGGCTCTTCCCTGCAAGGCTGGCTGTACCCAGTGCTCGGTGGCTGCTTTGCATGCTTAGCATGGCCACTAGCTGAATTTTTATTCTCTCTGTTCTTGCTAGGTGTAAAGGGGCCATTTAAATCCCTATGACAGAAATGTGCTTATTTCTGAGTCTGCGCACCTGAACCCTGCATCCTGTGTCAGCAGAACCCCTTCTCCAGGACCACAGACAGGCCCGAGCCTGTTCCCCTCTGGGGGCTGCTCTGCATGGGCCCCTCCATAGTCACTTTGTTCTGTGACTTGTTTTGTTCTCTGATAGGCCGGTTTCTTTTTGGTTGTACTGTGACTTTTTACCTGAAGTCCAGTACATCTCGAGGTCATCCTGTGAACACTGGGAATATTCTTTTCACTGCCCAGTTTGTAGCCAAGTGTAAAAATAATACACACAGCACCTATTTAAAAAGTGTTGCTTTTTTTTCTTTAACTGCCCCATTTCTATCCAGAAATGAGAGAAGTCATAGTTTTAGAATATATTTTGAAGATAGGCATTCATGCTGCTTTTTGCTTGGTTTTGGGTGCGTTAGTGGGAGGGCCCCTCAGGGAAGGACGGATGGGGGCAGAGTGGAGAAGTGGATGACCCCTTCCCTTGTCACAGCAGAACAGGCCACCTCCAGACTGCTTTGGAATAGCGGCCCAGAGGGCAGTGCGCAGAGAGGTGCCGTTGGGCCTTGTCGAAGTGTCCCTTTGAGGCACCTTTCCTCTGGATCTTCTCTGGCAGGCCCTGTATTGGCATTCTGAGTCCCGGGTGGTTTGAAGAGTGAATGCACAGGCGCAGTGCTAGTTTTCTGGGGCTGCTAATGAATGACCACAAATGGGCGTCTTAGGACAACAGGCATTGTCCTCTCCGGGTCTGGAGGCCAGGAGTCTGTGGTCAAGGTGTCGCAGGGCTGTGCTCCCTCTGAAGGCTCCAGGAGGCTCCCTCCTGCCTCTCCCAGCTGGAGGGGGGGACCCAGGCGTTCTGGGCTCGTGGCCGCGTCTCCCCAGTCTCTGCCTCTGCCACTGCGTGGCCGTCTCAAATCCCCCTCTCCCTTCTCTCGTCAGGTCAGCCTTTGCATTGTGTGACAGTTTCCACTAGGTCACATTCCAAGGTTTGGTGGGGTCCCCTAGGAGTGCTCAGCCTTCTGGAAGCTGACCTGTTCAAGAAGACACAGGAAGGAGCAGTTCCAGAGAAGAACCTTCCCAGGGGCCTTCTAATTCTTCACTCTTTGAATGTGCTGAATTCTGTTCCTAGTCTCCAGCTGCCTTCTTTGCTCTGTACTTGCCAACCTTCCAAATGAGAAGTGCGCCTGTCCTTTCAGGGTTTCCGACTCCAGTGCTGGTGTGTGAGTGGCTGCTCCTGGCCTTCCCTGGCACAGTGAGGGTCCAGCACAGCCATCGCAGAGGTCGCAGCCCCAGGCAGCTGCTTCCGCTCAGGCCCAGCGCTGGGGAGGGCAGGGAGAGCACAGCTGTGTGCGGATGCGGCAGCAAGGACAGTCACTGAGAGCTTACACAGGGCCCAGAAGCGGTGGCTGGACCGTACCCTCTGGCGCGGGGGATGATGCCGGAGGAGAGGCAGCCCGTGCCCCGGGCCCAGGGCGAGTGCAGGGGGCAAGCCGTGTGCCCAGAAGCTGCAGCTTGTCCCAACAGCCCTCGAGGAATGGCGACGTTCCCAGAGGTGGAACATATGGTTCTGAGCCACAGCCGCATTCTGGGCTCGCACGAGGGACTCAGAAAACGCACACCCACCCACCGACCCCAGGTTCCCCCAGTCAGAATCTCTATGGGTATGCATGCTTCTCGAGTGTTTCTAAGGAGCAGGCCAGGTGACTTACTGCCAGCAGGCCTGCTCTCTCTCCATATCTGTCTGTGGAGAGCCCTGAGCAGCCAAAGGGAAAACAGACCTGCCCCACCCTGCTGCTGTTCTGAATCCCAGGAGGGCGCTGCTAGGGAAGTCCAGCCAGCATCCACTTGTCCTGAAGACATGCACTGCCCAGCACCTGCATGGCATGAGGCTGCACACACTTGGGCCAGTGACAGGACTCTGCCCGGAACAAGCCTCCTTTTCCAGCACCTGGGGATGCTTAAAACCCCCGGCACTGGGCATGAAGGTATGTGGGACCAAAGGCATTGTAGCATTTTTAGAGGACTAGTCTCTAGGCCATTCTCTCCCACAAATACTTAAATGATAGAGACTACGGTCTTTCTCTGCAGAATTAGAGTGTTAAAAAGAAAGGTCCATCAGGATCTTTTCATGGTACCTACTAACCTTGACACCAGACTTAGCTTGTTCACCTTAGACCCTTCCAGTAGCAAAAAATCCATTGCCAAACTGATTTGCCTGGAGCCTAAGCACAGAAACCTACCTGTTGAACTGACTGCTAGTCTCCAAGGCAGAGGCAAAAGTGCAAAAACCCTATGAAACCAGGCAATAACTCCAAAACCCACTACTCCCAATCCCAGCTGTACACCACCTCCGACTGTTCCCACAACACCACAGCCGCACTAACTCTGCGCCCATTGCTCCCCATCCCAGGTGCTCTAACTCCACCCCCCACTGCTTCCCATCCCAGGTGCTCTACCTCCACCCCCCCACTGCTCCCACCCCAGGTACTCTAACTCCA